TCTTGAGACTGGTGCTCTTCAACATCTTTATCGATGACACGGACAGATCAAGCATACCCTCAGTGAGTTTGCTGATGACACCATCAAAGAAAAAGGAAAATCCTGCTAGGAGAATTAAATATGAAAACAGTCTCTGCAACACCTCACTTTGAGCTACTCTGCTCAACAAGCTACTCTGAAATGAAAACACCATTCCATGCACTGAAGTAAACAGAGAAGGCAGAAGAAGCAGACTGACACTGACTTCTGCATCTGACCATGAAATATGGCACAAGAGACTGTGAGTAACTGTTCTGCCTGTAATTCAACGCCAGTAATACCTTAATGTGAGCAGGTCTAATGATCAATATATGATACTCTAAGTCAGTTCATTTCTGTAATGTTACTGTATAAGCTTTTAAAAGCAATGACAACTATTTCCAGCTGGTGTGTAAAGCCTTACAGATAGCAAATATTACCTTAATGTATTAACAGATTTGCACACAGAGCACCACTTTAAAATAATTACTACAAGTGGGTATTAAGATTCAGGAGGGACAATCCTTTTCTCATTCTTAATCGGATGTTCCAGAAGCTAAGTGATCTCCTGCAGAGCAGCTTGTGAGGACCTTTATGCCTGATCATGCCCACAGCACAGGGATACTGGACTGGTCCTTCAGCCACCCATGTATTGCACTTCTCCGTACAGCTTTTCATTAAAATCAAACAAATATACACTGCAATATATTCCAGCAAAGTTGCACAATTTTGTTCGAATGCTTTGGTTGATGTCTCAAAAATGCTAGACACTGATGTGGAAAATAGGCTACAGTTTATTACCAGAACAAAAACACACCCTCAAGCTTCAGCTAAGTATCAGTAACGATGGCTGTATCACACTCTGAACTCTCCCCAGAGCACTCAAGTAATTACTTACTACCTGGGCAAGTCACTTTTAGGAGCTTGTAGCAGGCTACTTGCCACTCCTTTATTTTCCCTCTCGGATAGCTAAGAAACCAAGCTATGCAAACAAAGCAGAAAAATAAGTGGAACTGCTGCACAGGTCAACTCTTCAAGTAAATCAAGCAGAAGAGTTTTGATCAGAGAACAAGACTAGTAGAATGGAATTATAGAAAGAAAAAAATACATTTCTTTAACTCCTAAAATGTTATAAAGTGTTTCGGAGTGAAGTCATACCGAATTCTATAAAATCCCTTGCTTTTTACCACAGCTGTATCAGTGTTGCCACTAACTACCAATGTTTTTACTTGTCTGAAAAAAAAAAAAAAAAGCCATGTTGCTTTTGTAAAAGCCACACCTTCCTCAGGGCAGGCCGCCCCACAAGAATATAGGCTTTTGTTCCAAAAGCTGAAGACATCTATCTATTGCTCTACGAACCCAAGGGAAAATTGAAAACGAGTTATACAGGTTCAAAGTTGATGCCAATATAAATTCCAACATTTATTTCTGTTATTGGTTTTCTTTTTCGAAATAAAAGCCTCTTCATTTTGTAACTTGACTCATCATATTTCCACGCCTGGAACTCCCTTTCCTAACCTCCACTGCATAAAAATACAAGTTAGAGAGGAGGCTATTTAATTAGCTATAGCCCTTCTTTTGAATTTTAGTAAATTACTATATCAAAATCATCATATTTTAGGAACCTGATATTCAATGCAGCTACATGCAGTTTTTGAGGATTGCTAAAGTGATTAATTAACAGCTTGTGCTGATATTTATTTTCAGAGTAACTCCTTAAAAAGCCAGCCAATTAAAGGAGCATAACCAACATTCAGCCGCTCAGGTTTGACTGTTTTTAACAGCAAAAGCAATTTCACTCAACTGTTAAAGACAGGATATTAGGAATCCCATACTCAAATTGTATTTGCAGGGGAGTACGAGTCAGCTTTAATGCAATTAAATGCACTGGAACTTGGCCAGAAACTTAGGACAAATCCAAAAGCCAGTCTGCCCAACAGTACAATGCGTACTTGTTTATACACTTTTCTTCTGCACCATTTGACAACAAAAAAGTGCACTCAGGCTTCTGCTTAAAAGAAACTCTTACTGTTTAAAGTTAACTCGTTTTAAATAAGTCACTCCTAAGCTTCACCACGCCCTTGTACAGACCAAAAGGTTTAGCCAGAACTGTAGCTGCATGGAGCCGTGAATTTTATTACGGAATAATTCAAAATAGCATCTCAGAATGATACAGAGACAGAAGTTTTAATTCCATGGTCTGAGTCCCACTCTTCCAATCGCCTGCTATACTAACAAAGGCAACTTACCACAAGTGTCCCACAAGCAATCAAATGCTGATTTCACAGACAAGGGAAATGAGAAATGTTGCAAACGTGGGACAAACAAGAGCCAGCTGGGAAAAAACAAACCCCCTCAGCATCAGCTGAAGTGAACTTTAGAGTTTCACAAGGGAAGAATTGGTCACACAGCAAAAAAGTTACTGCGAATGAGCCGTTTTCTATAGCTGCTCACACAAGCCCACGGCAAAGGCAAGAGGTGTTACATTTTGAGAACAGCAATTTCTTACTGCCTTGCATTTAGTGTGTAACATCTCAGAGAATAACATGCAGTCACTTCCTCGTGAGTCAAAGGCCTTGGATGAATAACAACTAAGCAGTAAGATGCCAAGTGTTAAGCAGAAGTTTAGCAAGCATAGAAACGCAACTATGTCAAACACCAAGCAGTCTTAGCAACGTATCTTAGGGCACTTCTATTACTTTTCTTCATTAAAGAGTTTCAGTGAGCTGATATTTACTCTATCACCTGAATGTCTTCTACCAGGTTTTGGCCTCTTCAGGGGCCTCACCAGACCATACCACAAAGCAATTAGTACAGCTTCATTAACAACAGTTCAAAACGAAGCAGTAAGGGAAATAATTTTCAAGAGCAACTTTTTAATTCTATTGACCATCTTGAAAGTTACCACCTTTATCAGCTTAGACAACTTGATCACAGTAGGTTCCACATCATGTGTGTAAATTCACCTTTGGTAACATACTCTAAACACTAAGAAAAACCCTTTATGCAGTTCTGTTTTGAACTTAAACATTACACTGAGAAACAACAAGATTTTGAGTTGGCCAAGCGTACTGCTGTGATTAAAGTAATCATGAGAACAGGTGACTCTTCTTTTCCTATCTGAAAAAGGCTTCAGGAAATCCTCATCGATCAAACTGTCACTTACCAAACATTATTTCTCATTTAAAATGTGCAAGAGCAAATCCCTTAGATTTTTGTGACTATGAACAGTACTGAAACATTGCTTTTCTGATTCTCATATTAATTCACCAGATCCAAAATCATGTAACAGTTGGATATTAAGAGTAAGTGAATAAAGATGGTATCAGAAGTCTTCTACAAGTCAATCATGCCTACTCAGAGGAAGTTCTAGACATACTTTCCTTTAAACAAAGGAAGACCACAGAACATGCTTTAGCAGTGCGTATTGCATGCCTTGAAAGTCTGACTACCTAAAAAATCCTGATTACTGGAAGATTCTTCTGGAAAGAGTCACAAAAGTAACAAAATTCACAACAGTTCCATATGTCATACTTGCAGTAAAACAAGGACATTACTCTACACCCCAGCAAAATTCCATAAGTGTTTGTTAAGCATTTCAGCTTTAGGTAAACAGGTTAGACAGCTCCCTACAGACTACAGTGACAGCAGATTTCCCAATTGAGTTTTATTCCTTTGAGGTGCATGCTACAATTAAAATAAGGGAAAAAATTTACACATTACCAATTCTATTAAAAGAAACAGAAGTCATCAATATATCTCTATTGAGATATCTGTCAAATTCCTGGTTTATGCCTACCTGGCAAAAGTACTGGTTCCAGTTTTTTAATCCTGGGTTCTGAAGTTATATGGTCTTCAGTCTGGGGAAGAAAAAAAAAAAAGGGGGGGGAGTTTAAAAAAAAAAAAAAATCACAATTTTGCAACAAGATACAAGCTTATTTGGGCAAAGGAGAAAGTCCTTCTTTGAACTCAGAGCTTATTTTTAAAAGAGAGTCTCTAATCATAGTAACAGCTTTCTGTAATGCTATCAACAGGCTGCAGACGTGCAGCTCCATACTAAAAGCATGCTATAATACTTCAAGTGCTAACTTTTTACTAACCACGTAACTCAGGACACAGTAAGTCAGAAGATAATAAAAACCACAAAAGCTTGAGTCCTACAACAAGCTCCATACAGACACAGGCATTCAGATTCGCACAAAACTCTCTGCTGGCTTTTGATGTGAGTGACTTTCTTGGCCTAGGAAGAATTCCCTAAAACCAAGCCTAGAACATATCTACCTGCATTTTAGTTCCAAATTTTAACAATAAAAACCCTTGTGTAAGAAGATGGGAACCCTCAGCACAATAAGCTCAGTGCTCACTCACCTCTCCTATACTGAAAGTGGTACAGACACCTTCCAGGACCAACAGTCCCAGAACTACACAACCCCGGTGCTTCACTTTTACTAAGTTTCTCTGAAAAAGCAAAGCTGAATCCACCTGCCAATCGTGCTGCTACAGCCAGGCTGCCCAGCTCTCTGCAGATACATCTTTATCTCTACGGATAAAGAAATGACTGTCAATGCCATAGCGCTCTCTCGGCTCACACAAGAAATCCCAGCAGTTTTACTGTGATTTTCTTCGTGCCACCAGCCAAACGTTACAAGTGAAACAAACGATGGCCACAGTGAAAGGAACCGCTCTCACCGCGGGTGGGTTTCTGCAGGTAAGGCCGCTGCCGCCCAGTACAAAGGCACGCCGCTCAGCTCGGGAGCCAGCTGTCCCAGGAGCTGGAGCGCTGCTCCAAGCTGAGAGCCTCGCACGGGTGGGTTTAACGGACACGAAGCCGTGCTCGTGGCCAAACTGGACTCATCTCCACACACCGCCGTGAGCTTTTGTTCCTCCACGCACGGGGAACCCCCGGGGCCAGCAGGTGCCGCTCCCCAAGGCCAGCCTAGGGGCGGGCAGCTCGGGGCAGCGCCTCAGGGCCGGGAGGGAGGCGGCCCGGGAGGGAGGGCAGCGCCGGCGGCGGCCCCGGGTAAGAGCAGGGCGGAACGGGGATGAGAAACTGTTACCTGAGGCAGCGGCAGAAGGTACGACTTGAAGGTGGGTTTGGGAGGCTTGAGAGAAAACATCGTGGCTACCGCAGGGAATCCCGGAGGGCTGGCGGGCGGGGAGGGGCCGGCGGGTAGGGCCGCGCCGTGCCGAGCCGAGGAGGCCCCGTCCCGCGGGGGCTGGGTGCCGACAGCCGCCGGCGGAGGCCCGGCGCCCCGCAGCCACCCGGGGCGGCGCGTTCCGTCACGCGGCGGCGGCCTCGGCGGGCGGCGGCGTAGGCGGCCCCCGCGTGCCCCCCTTCCCCAAGGGAGGAGTCAGCGGCCTGGGCGGGCCCGGCCTGGGGCTGCCCCCAGCCCTCATGGAGCCCCCCGCGGCTCCTCCGCCTCCCCGCGGCGCAGCCTTCCCGAGCGGGGCCCGGCGGCTCCCTACGGCCGGCGGCGGGCGGGCGACGGCGGCTCCGGCGGGCGGCGGGCAGAGGCGAGCTGCGCCGGGGCGGCCATCTTGGGCAGAGGGGGCGGGGAGCGGCCTTCCTACGGCGGCGCGCAGGGGCCGGGCGGCCAAGGGCGGGAGGGGCCGCTACACCGCGACGGGGCGGCTGCCGGAGTCGGGCCCGGAGTGGGGCGGCGCGCAGTCGGAACCGAGCGGAACCGAGCGGAACCGAGCGGAACCGAGCGGAACCGAGCGGAACCGAGCGGAACCGAGCGGAACCGAGCGGAACCGAGCGGAACCG